TTATATAAGGTTAGAAGCAGTGGTCAAAACTGAACATTCTTGGTTTGTTTCTCAGTAATGGGGCTTTCACTTGAGTGTGGATTTCAGTAATTTGGCTTCCAGTGCATATGCTCCAACATGATTAATAAATTCTTTTAGTTAATCTGAATGGCAGCTCCACTTAATGTGCAATTGGATGATTCAAAACATCATCCACCCCAGAGCTGAGGGCCAAGCAATCTGCACAGTGTTAGCTTTGTGCTGATGCCAAGCAGTCAGCCAAATTTGAGTCCAAAAACTGAAAGAAAATGCATTTCACTTAATTATGTATTTTTGGCTATTTAAATATACAAAATCATTTTCACCAATTACATGTATTTGTTTTCTTCTCTACTACAAAATTCAAAAGGCAATTTATACAATCAAGCTGATCAGAAGAGAAGCTGTTCAATACTTGTTGTTCAACAGTATTTGAAACTCCCAAAAGAATTCAGAGAACTTAACTGCTTTGCCTTCCATAGTTGCACCCTACTCCTAAAATGCAAAAGGATTCAGTTCACTAGTTTCCTACTGGTTTGTAATTAATAGAGATAAACGAGTTCCATGATTTTGGTGCCATCTTACTACATCAGTCTCCAGAAACTTATGGCCTGGATGAAGTGTGTAGCTTTTATGACTATTGGTGACTCAAGATGGACGTTCTTATTGTCTTTGCCTTGCTCCAGTCCTGTCTCATTGAATATTTTCAGAAACCTCATGTGATGTTGTAGTCTGTTGCATCTTTACCCTTTGCTAGACTTGGTTTCCATTCTGAGAGAGTTGTTTGGGATCAGCTATGAAACACTGGGCCAACAACAAAGGCAACTGCTGCCTGTGTGACTGCCAGCTCTGCAAGAAATGTTTCCCAAACTAGGTTGTGGGTTGGTTTGTGTTTTTTTTTTTTTCTTTCTGATACTGATTGAATGTTCTGGTCTCACAACACCATGCTCCTATTATAGAGAAGATGGTAGAACATAGTGTCTATCATCTGTTAAACTTTGATTATGCATCCACATACTTATCTTCTTTGCTAGGCCTGGTCCAAGACCTGCAGTCAGACCCTGTGGTCCCTTTCTGTTCATCAGTGCTTAGTCTAGAGCAGCACTTTGCTTGAAGCATGTATGCTTTTTCCTAGAGTATCAACTCCTTTTCAGTATCAGCTGCATTGAGTCTAATTCAGAGTGTGAATCCTTGTCTGCATGTTGGGTATGAAAAAGTTTGGAGGGTCAAAACATTTAGGTGACTGCATCTAGTATATGAAGAATGTGGAAGTTTTGGGTTATTCTCCGAGTGGACAAAAGTGGAAGAGAGGCAGAATGACTGAAATTTACATTAAAAAGAAGAGAGAACTAGGAACTGTTTACCTCCTGGCTGCTAAGTGACCTCTTCAGGTTCTCTGAGGTGGAATTATTGCATGCTGATACTGCACGAGTAATGGAAATGTGTGTTAAGGAAGGCTACAGCACAGGATGCATGAGAAAAGGCTGAAGGAATCTGGCTTGTTCAGCCTTCAGAAGAAAATGCAAATGGGAGATCATGTTGGTGTCTCAGCTTCCTAATGGGAAGGCAGAGACCAGCCATAACCAGGCCCTTTGTTAAGGTAAGCAGGTGTAGAGGAAAAAAGCCACACCCGCAGTTTGTAACACAGGAGATCTCAGTTTGACACTGGGAAAGGAAAATTTCTCCACATGAGGGGCCAAGCACTGGAAGAGGTTGACCACAGAAGTTGTGGAGTCTTCATTTTGGGAGGTGCTCAACATAGACTGGAAAAAGCCTTGAACAACCTGAGCAGACCTAGCCCACTTTGAGCAAGAGGTTGGACCAGATGACTTTGAAAAGTCTTTTCCAACTGAAATAGTTCTGTGAATCTACAGCTCTTCCTCAGCTGGTGTGTGAGGTACGTGGATTGACTGGGTGCATTACTGTTTGGGCAGGTAAAAGGCTTCTCCTTCTAGGGGAAGGAGAGTCTTTGGAAAATACATTTAGTTTTTATAGGTTCCTTAGGCTTTATTTGCCTGTGCAGTGGTTTTGAGAGGCTCTGTAAGATGTGTCCCTTCTCTTTGAACTTGAGGATATGTGGTTTTCCTGTGTCTGCCATTACAGCTATACATAAGTGCATCTGTATTGAGTTTGATACCTCAAAATTGCACCTCAGTGCTGCAGGACTTGTTGAAAAGACTGAACTGGATGTCTCTGGTGCACTCAGTGAGCACAGCCAGACACAGGCTTCAAAAGATGGACTCAAGTGGCTTGTCATAGGAGGCTTTGGAGATAGAGTACAAATTCAGTATTTTATGTGTTCTGTCCTAATTATGTTCTCATATTCAGAAAGATTAGAGAAAGAACAAACATGACTTTCTTTTAGTAAGAGATTAAAAAGGACATGGGGGAATAGACACCTTCACACTCCTTTCTTCAAACACACAACACGCTGTGGTGCATAGTATTTCTAAAAATGGGAGAAATGCTGAGATGTTCAGATTGACATTTCAGTGCCTGTCTGAAATATAGGGTTCAATAATCCTATTATGTGTGTCTGGCACACTCCTCCTTTAGCAATGTGCCTCCCATAACTGCTATAATAAGACAGAGAGCCAAAGACTAATTCTGTGTGCCTCATCCCATCATTCAGCAAAGCTATATCGTCATCAGAGGCAATCTATTGTTTTATTTCCTGCTGGATGGTATTGATTTTTCTAACCTTTCCTAAAGCTGAATTTGTTTGGCTTTTTAACTTTCTAACCAAAGGTTAATGTTGTTAAGTTGAGCAGGTAGCCATGAAGTTACAAGTGTTATTGCCCATCTTGCAATTGTCATATTGTGCTGTCACTAAGCCCTGGCTGCACTGGAAAGCTCTATCCTGAAGATTTTTGTCATTTAGGAATAATGCGGTGAAAGTTAACAAGAAGTGCATTTGAATTGTCATCAAATTCTCTGGTTTAAAATACTGGATTTGATATGTCAGGAGTGACAGATTTATCTAAAACTCTCTTGCTATCAGTGAACATGAACTGCACTGAACATGACATTAATTCCAGAGAGACACTGAAGAGGACACAGGAAGTTGCAAGTACTGCTGCTGGTCCTCTTCAGCACTCTGGTGTGACCACACCAGTGTCTGCCACTGTGGCAAAAGGAGCATTTCTAAAATCTTTGCCCATTCCAGAACTGGTTATTTGCTTGATGTGGAAAGCGAACGAGAAATCACAGGTACATTTGAAGGAAGTGGTGGCTTTCACAGTGGCGCATTTTTCAGTATGAACTATAGCAGTGCTTGGATAAGGTGTCAAAAGTGCAGACAGTGAACAAACAGTTTCAGGATACCATTTTTAAGCCAGGTTTTGGTTTTAGTACTCTCTTTGTATCAGTATCATTTGTACAGTAACCTGCCTTTAATGAACTGTTCACTTGCTGTCCCGTTAACACATTTAGATTACATTTCTGTCATGTAGATTTGAGGCCTTTTATTGTATGTGCAAGACAGTAGCAGGGCTGTACATAGGATATCTACATGTGGTGCATCAGAGCTTCCTTCTGGAGCTGTGGTAAATGCCTGTGGTGCTCTCCAGCCACCATGCTAATGTTATCTTGCCTTGGTAAGAAATATTTTTCTTATCAAAGAACATCCTGAGAAGCTAATGAAATATTTTCAATAGTAGAAACCATAAAGTAATGAATAAGAAAATAATTTAAGCTGTTGTGGATCAATGCTTAAAACCCAGACAATTTGGTCATCCCTGGGTAGAAAGCAGAATTGCAGCCTACCTGCAGCTGCCAAAACCTGAGTGTCCAGAGAGGAAATCAGGCTTTTATTAGTGACTGCAGGAAGGAGTGTTTCAGAGTGCTGAGGGAGAGGGGGAGGTAGATCTTTTATTTAGAAATCAGTACCTATAAACTTCTGCCAGCACTGCAAAGCCAATTTTGCCAGGAATGGCCCTGGCAAACGATAAAAGACCTTTCATTCTCTACTGCTAATTTGAGAGCTGGTAACTCGGGTTCTGCCTTTCCTCCCCTGCTCAGCAGTAACTGTTCCTGCCATTGATTTAGTCTTAATGTGTCATGTTCTCGTGCAGTTCAAGGGCTGGTCATGAAAGGCTGGGGAGGGTCTGTCTGTGCACAGTTTCTCACAGCTTGGTCTCCCTTGCCACTATCAAGGCCAATAATGAGACTGTCTGAGAGCACCTCTTTCCTAGTGAATGAGACATTTTTTCATTTAGAGTGGCTTTGATTAATAAATCCTCTTCAGTAGTTTTCAGATCCAACTGTGAGCTTTCTGGGAGGACTTGAACATCCCTCTACCTTGCCTGGGCTCCCTTGGTGTCCCTGGCTGGTGTTGCACAGCTCACATGGTCATTAAAGACTCTAGATGGCTTGTGCCCCTTCTCCGCCTGCCAATTTTATGTTTTGGTGTTTCCTGATGAAGAGTGGAGAGCTGGCAGCTCTTCAAATTGTTTGACACACCAGGTCCAGGCTCCAGCTGTGTTTCCCCTCCTTGCTTAGTGGTGGCAGCAGCATCGATTCTGCAAGGGAGGTCTTTGATTACATGTGCTCTTGCAGCTACACGGTGCATCACCTCAGCAGCCTGTTATTGCTACTTGAAAAGGTATTTAGAGCAATATCAGGAGAACAGTTGTTTTCCTGGGACCTGATTCTGGCCGTTACTGATCACTCAGGGCTCACAACACCAGGACTTACCCATCTACCAGAACATTGTGGAGCATGCTTATCCAAGCTCACAGATGAGTTTAAAATATTTACCCCTGTGCCTATCCAACCAGTGTTTCATAATAATTTGTTCAGCTGGGACTTCAGGTCTTTGGGCTTTATTAGAGTAATAGTCTTTACTTAATTCTGCGTCTTCATGCAGAGACTTTTAAGAGTTGCTGACTGCAGTTGATTTCACAGAAGACAGCATTAGTTCTCAAAATTGAAAGATGACTGACAATATTTTTTTCCTTTCTGTTTTGCTGCTTCTTCACTAGGGATGTGAGTTAATTGAGACCATGGATCAAGACCTCACAGATTTCACCAAGTGCCTTCAGATACTCCAGAAAAAGATAGAGAAGAGGGGCCTCCAGGTAAAAATGAGACATCTTTTGTCTCTGGTTCTTAATAATTACTCTTCCTCTCAAGTGTATTTAGGTTCGTGTTTTAAGCTGGCACTGAAGAAATGAAACAATATTTTCTGTAGCCTTGCCGTTCTGTGGTTTTGCCATAATTTACTGCACACCTTGTAAGCATTGATGCTTCTGCTAAAAGGAATTACCCAGTGTGTCAATGAACAAGCATTGGCTTTCTTAAAAGGCAGCTTGTATTGATTCCTGTTAATGAACTACCCAAAGTGCAGAAGAGCTGTTGGCTGGTGTTCAAAGCAAGAGTCCCACTTTGGCATGTAAATATATTTTCAAGTCTTGGCACGCTGACCCTCGGTGTTCATCTCCTTCCTCTCCCCTCCCAAAGGTGAGATGGGAGGGGGAATCTTACCCTGCCAACATTACATATGGTAAGCAATGCTTCCTTCTGCAAAAGGTTCCCCTGGAATCAAAGAGAACCTTTGCAGAACAAGCAGTGTACGAAACTTAAAAGGAGCCATATGGAGTTGTCAGCTGCTCGTTTCCTTGGAAAGGCAAAGGAGGCAACGTCCCCCTCTCCTTCAGCCATTAGATTTCAGAGGCCCACTTGTTTTCCTTCTCTGAGGTGGGAAGTTAAAAGTCCTTGGGCATTTACAACACGATGGCAGATGCGCTCTTGGGATTGCTGCCCTTTCCTCCCCATGGAATGTCGTTCATAAGGGCTGAGCTCTCTGTTCTGCTCTGCACCTATGGGTTAAAGGAACTGAGAGGAAACAATGTAAGAAAATGAAAACAGCACAAGGTGGAAGGAGATGTGTAAACCTTCTCTTTTCCTGTTTTCATTGTAGCAGGATAGGAAGGTTGCCTGACTCCCTGAGATCACTGTACTCCAACAAAGCAACAAGAGATAGAAGTGCCAATGCCTCTCTCTCTTTCTTCTCTTCTTACTCCATGATGACAAACAATTAACCAACTTTTGCTTGAGATATTTTGGAATGTCTCGATCTTCTGTAATGAAATACATGTCCATGTGGCATTTCAGAGTGCTGCTACACTTGGCAGTCATGTCGTCTTTAGCCTTCTCTTGTTCATCAGGTCTTTTTCCTCATCAATATAGACAGAGAAGTGAGGGTTTCTCCATACACTTGTCTTATCTGTCTGGCTCTGAGCCAGGATACTCTTTATATGGTAGTTTATTTTTCCCCCCTTATAATTTATCATCAGAAGACCACAGAAGGGTGTCTTCCCATCTAGGATGCATATAATGATGAGTGCAAGATGAGCCACCTATACCTACAATTTGTTTTGACTTTGGCAACTCAGGTGCTTCCCTCAACAGAATTGCCCTCAGAAATAATGAGAAATTGACTGTTTCCTGGATTCAATTAATTATCAAATCCCAGCTACTGCTATGAAGGGATGTTTTTAAATCATTTTCTTTTAAGCTATCACAAGAGGTTTTATATAAATAATCAGTGTGTGGTTAAAATAGGAGCAATGGGAACGTGACAGCTACAGATGTGTTTCCATGATAAGTAGCCTGTTTGTAAAAGTTTGAATTCTTTGATCACTTTCCCAGGTAAAGCCCTGTTAATTTGGCTCAAGGATTGTAATCCTTGAAGATGTTTTGCAAAGTACAAGCCAGAGTGTAACTGCATAAATTCTGTGGAGTCCATGCCAATGACCTAAGCCTAAGATTTCAGTTCAGTTATATTTACATGCTGTTACATATAAGATATGCTTTAAATACAATCTGAGTGTTTCAGAGGTGCAAAAGGTAACATAGATACGTTTTCTAAAACTAAGTACTATATTTATGAAATCCTAACTGCTTCTTGCTTGCAGTGTCTGTTCCATAAAACACAGTGAGATGCTATCATTTGATTCATGCACACTATCTAAAGCATACATTTCTGGGTTTGATCTTCAGCATTTTCTGACATAGGGAGTTTCAAGAAGTTGTTGATTCAATTTAGACAAATAAGATGTGACATTTAAGCAAATGGAACCCAAAGCTGTGTCACAAATGTATAAATTACTAGCCTGGGTTCCAATTTGCCCTTTGTTCAGAAGCGGTAGGTATAATTCCTTAGCAGGAGGCTTGGTGATTCTCCTGGATGTCCTGATGGTGCAGTGCTTAGCTTGATGCCTGGTCCCCCAGTAACACAGGAATTCAGAGCCCTGGCAGCATATTCTGGCCTCAGTTTACAGATGCAACCACTTGGCTTCTCTGAAACTCTATCCTCTTTGAATACCTAAACCATTCTGGGAAAAAAAATCATAACTGAGAGTATTGACTAGGTGGAATGTGTCATCTTGGTTCCTGGATAAGCATGTGTGTCTCCAGCTTTGATTTTTACCTGTTCTGTTTGGATCATCCAGAGCACTTGCCAAAGATGAATATGACAAAGAGATGCTAAACATCCCTTTCCCTTTAAATTATGCTTGAAGCTACTAAACAGGGAAAGTATATCTTTAGTATCTTAAAAAAAAAAAATTATACCACAGTCACACTGTGTTCACTGCTCTTTCTGGGTAGCAATATGTTCAGCTAGAAAATTAATTACATTAAATGTATATGATGGATCCACAATCCCATAACATAGTTTGTCTGGATTAAATTCAACTGTGGGGAGCCAGGATATTTGAAACAGATGTTAGTTCCTTGGTTAGAGAATAAGTTATCATTTATCTGCTATACTGAATGAGTAAGATTTCTATTCTCATCTGTCAATCCTGTGGTGGTTCTGTGTAAAGGATGTTTTTCAGCTCTCATGAACGTATGGAGGCAATATTTTGTTCCAAAGGAGTTAAGTTTGTGTAGTCTACTGTCCATGTCTCTGCACCTCCATCCTCCTCATTCCTTTTTTTCCTGCTCACCAAATAGCCTTTGAACAAGTAACCTTTGAACAGAAGAATAGAGTACTGAAAGATAATAAAGCTGAACAGCTTTCTTAGAGGTCACCTGGGTGGGGGTGAGGGTGAGACTCCACTTGGTGCCTCCAGTGGAGAGAAGGCTGCAAAGCCCGTTTTGATTTTACTGGTGGTTACAGTTAGAGCACAAGGATAGATGCAATTGGTCAACTGAGAGACAGGTCTGGGAGCAAAAATATCTTCTTAGTTCTTGAAGACCTTGTTCAATATGCACAGCAGTTAGTTCTGTGTTCTGGAATAATTAGCCAAATGCGTAACTGCGTTTTCCTTATGTCTCAAATAAAAACTCTTAGAATAGTTTCTGAATCCTCAGGGTCATTCATTTCTGGTTTACACTGCATATTTTAGTTCCATAGCCAAGTCATGCAGAAAGCAGCAGTGGGGTGATTTTGTGACATCTAAGTCACCTAATTATATGTATTTATAATTGCATACTGCAGTCGATGTAAGAACAAGCAGGGCCCTTTATATGTGCAAGCTAGAATCAGTCTTAATTTTCCCTCTCCACAACCCTAATTCATTGCATTGTATCGGATGGGTGAAGCAGTGAAGTACCACCAGCAGAATCTGACTCCTGAAGTTTCTTTCCCACCTAAAGGCTGTTAGATATTTCTCTTTCTTTTGCTGCATGACTGTGAGTATGCATGTACATCTCTACGTCTATGTATGTGTATGAATGCACACATTTTCTGGCAGCATGTTTTCCTGGCCCTGTGTGATGCTTTTTTAATGTCTTAATAACTCTGGTTTTATTTCTACTAGGTGTTTCTTTTACATTGTTTATGGCCTATTGAACACTTAGGTGTGCACATTTTGCTTTACTGCTTTAATCACTATTTTAATTCTGTGTTTGTGTGAGTACTTTCCTTTCTTCATTACAAGACCTTCAAGTAAACTTATTTATAGCGATTTCTGTCCAGTACTACTTTCTGTTCTTAATTTTCTCTCAAGAAACCAGCTGAACTGGCTAAATAGTAAGCATGCTTACAATATCTCTTATTTAGAGATCAGCAAATCTTTCATTACAAGTGAACATTATTATCTTCAGTTTGCAGGTTGAATGCAGAAGTGCAGAAGCAACTTGTCCCCAGTCTCCCAGCATGCTAGTTGGGGATGAGCCTCCAATTCCCAGTCTTCAAGTGCTCTTCCCATAACAGTTTCCCTGGTCTGATTCACAGGCAGTTCATAGCAGCTCGTGTCAGTGAGAAATGGAAGTGTGTTTTTCAATTATGCAGCTCCAAGAAGAATCCTCATAATGTAAAGATAGATTTGAGCCATTATCTTTATTTCAGAGTTACAAACGCTGCTTTCTTTAACTTTTTTCATCTAAAATACCATTTAGTCTTAAAATTAAGCTCTGGGACTTTTCATTTAACTTTATTATCTTTTCTGCTTAAAAAAAGTTAAAGCAGCTCATTTGGTTATATGGGCTGAGAATATAAAAAATGAATTTTATTGAAAACTCCATGCCTTTTAGTGGTTTAATGTTAGTGTGTTTAAATTGATAAAAGCATCAGTGTCAATATGAAATAATGAAAAAATCCAACTCTTCCTAAAAACCCTTTGCAGTAAAGGGATACTATACTAACATTTCCATTTTAAAATTACACTTTAAAGGTTTGATCTGTCAGCAGTCTAGAATATTACTTCTTTCAAATGAATGCAGGCATTCTTCTCTTTGCTCTCTTAAACAATGTGTCAAATCAGTTCACTTACTTTTCTGTTGAAGGGGGCTAAACTAAGCATAATTTTATTGAAGTCCTGTGTTTATAAAATGCTGAAGAGAGGACAATGAAGTGATGTTCTTGTACCACCTTCAGCTATGCAGTGTTCAAACAGCTTATTAAGCACTCTCTGGTTCGTCTTTACACAAAGAAAAAGACCCTGAAGGTAAACAGAAAATACTCTAAAATGAAAATCAGAAAATACTTTAAAAGCTTTTTTTTTTTACATAAAGAGCAGCCCCATGTAGGAAGGGTTTAATTTTTGTAAGTACTGAGCTCAGTTTAGCTTAGCTTTGATTTTTGTGTCAGTTGAGGTTATTCCTGATGATGTGACATTTTTGTAGCAGT